ATTATATATTTTGACAGCTAGTAAAATTAGAAGTGGCTTGCTCCTGTACATCATACTTTTCCTTTAACAATAGTCATGCCAGTTAACTGCTTTCAGCTGAAAAGTTTTGAATTGGAATAATATGACCTCCTGTTTGCATTGGAAGATCATATATAATTAATCAGGGTCTCCTGTCCCTAAGTTTTCCATATCTGATTTTGATTTTCATCTGTCTAACTCCATTTTTGAGATTAAGGAAGGACGCAGCCAGACAACAGATGGATGCCAGTGGGAATTTATAGGTTTACAATTTTTGAAAATTTCAGCCCAATTGTTCTTGTTCAATTTTCTTAACCTTTCAACAGTGGACTAGTCGGGTATGGTTCTACCCCAGTAGTGGAAAATATATTAGTGGGAAATTTTTAAAGTATTTTTCCACGCATTTTTTCTCATTACTGTTTTGGAAAAATATTTTGTAAACAGTTATGTCTAGTAAAGAAAAATGTTTTTTTATTGTTACATAATTCTCATTTTTTATGTGAATTTTTTTCGCAGTAGTTTTAAGCTAGTTTTTGGCAATACCCCCAAAACAATTTGACGACTGTAGTCATCTCTCACCACTGCCACACGATCGCCTTTGATGACTATAGTCATCGCTCACTGCTGAGTGGTTAATAAGAAGTAAAATTGATTTTACAAAGTGGAAAATAAATTCCATAGGTTTCAAACATGATTTAATAAGAATAATATTAACTGGATTAATTTATCTTTATATCATTTAGCATATGGTAAAATTGATTTTGTTATACATTTTACATAATGTTTCAGTTTTCAAGAACCTATTATTAATGTTAAGTGAGAACTTTCTGTATAAAAGTAACAAATAAGTGCTGTTAAACTTATTTTTAGTAATGACTGACACATTTTCTTATTAAAAATAATTTTTTTTTATAATATAAATTTTCCAAATTTCTTTTACTAAATAAAACTTTATATCTAAGAAAAATGAAAATGTTTTTAAAATGAAACAAATTAGAATAATATAATCAACTTTCAATTTCAAAATAAACTTCATTAAAAAAAATTTATTGCTTTACATTTTATTTATTTATTATTTATTATATTGTACTCATCAACTTAATTCAAAATAAATAAATAAATATATAAATTAGTACTTTAGAATTTCTTTCTTAAATTCATATTTTTCCAAATTAAAAAATAATTTAATTTTTTGTTCATTTATGTATGTTATAATGAAAAATGAAGCATAATATCATACGAGATATTTTGCAGAGAATAATGAAATATGATTCCAAACAATGTTACAGTTTTAATTAGAAAGTTTGAAGTCTTATTAGAAGAAGTTTTTTCTTTTTATAAATTGTTATTTAGGATGCAAGATATAAAGTTTTAATACTGACTATAGTAACATATACAACAACCTGATTCAGTCAATTTTGCCAAATGATCTTCTGGATTATTTATCGAGCTATAAGGCTAATTTAATTAATAATTACCATATTTCCACACATATAGGAGCATACTCATATCTGTGTATAAGAGCATTCTTTATAGATGAGGCAAAATGGCACTATAGTCTGCAAAGTATAGTACCTAAAAAAGAGTTTTATAGCTTTTGAAGCTTTTTTGTTTTTTTATTTTTTTTATTTTTTACCAGATGTCCCTGAATGATTATTGTATTAATATCTTTACATTTAATTTACAGTGACATATCAGTACAATTCTTTTGTAACCCAAAACAAGCTGGCACACATAAGTGCATGCTCTTATATGGAAAGTCTGCACTTACAAGTGATGCAGGACATGTGTTTCAAAAATGCAAAACAAAGTAGTTTTCACATATAAGAGTATGCTCTTATCTTCATAGAAATACAATAGATAAAAATTAATTTATTTCAAATTAATATTATAATTTAAATTTAGAATATTCTGGAAGACGGTGAGTGACCAGTATTGTTCATCTAAATTGATTATTTAATTAATAGTTCTAAATCTTCCCATAGCTGGTTATATACTAGTAAATAATACAAACAAAACCTTAAAAAATATACCAGTAAATATTAATTAATAGTTCTGAATGTGAAGATTGGACAGAGATCTGGGTAGTGTAACTGGCAACTCATTGTAGTTAAGGGTTTGAGTCTCTCTCTAGGCTGATCTTTTCTTCCAGAATATTCTAAATTTAAATTAAAAATTAATTAATTTGTAATTACTAATTAGTAAATTTTTTCTATTGTGAGATGGTGGCCTAACCACTTACCTCTAGCTGAATTTCTTTATATCTAATTATTATATAGCCCAATAAATTATATGGCAGATTGGCAATATTAATATTGATTAAATATTTTGCATATGGATTTCAAGGAAAAATTTTTGTGAAAGTTCTAAGGAGAAACAAGTTTACTGTAGTTAATAATATGATATTTTTGAATTTTAATAGGTAATATATTCTTTATCATATTTAAAGAACCCCATTCAACATTTTCTGGAGAAATATTTAGCAGTCTAAATGGAACCAAATCTGATATGATGACATTTCAGGATATGCAGGTGACATTTTCATTAAAAAAATTTAGTATCAAAACTATAGTCATTTTTGGCACTGCAAACAATGAAAAAGCAGTTTCTTTTACATAAATGGGTTTGGTTAGTGCCAGGCCTGGACTTTATGCAGGCAATAAGTAACGAAAAATTGTTAATCATAAACCCAAAATAATTACTATATGTAATAATGAAAAATTTATTTATTCTTCTAAGCTCGAATATGTACAATAATGAAATAAAGTTAGCAAAAATTCAAAATATAATAATAATGATATTTCATCAAATTCAAAAAAAAAACAAATATATACATGTACAAGAAACTTTTCCTGACACTTGGGGACTTATAAATTAAGTTATAACTATCTTAGAATTATCTCCACAAAACCAACAAGCAAAAATATGAAATGGAGATCTATCAAAAATTCACAAAGAAATCTTACAAATTAACTGTACCTAACCGTCACTATTCTACGTCATCAATGGAACTTGAAAGCCTTGCTTTTACCTCACTCGATTTTTAGCTTCACCTCATTTGATCTTAAGCTTCACCTCGTTTGATCTTAAACTTCACCTCCTTCATATAGTGCAGTTGTGGTGATTTTACATGATTACACCCACTTGATCCTATTTACATACTTAAGTGGCTAACATTCATTAAATTCTAGTAATCTTTCTTTAAGACATGTCATCATCCTTACATTTAATCTTTTATAAATTTTTGTTGTTGTTTTTTGATGACAATCTACTAAATTTGACATAATATTTTTGATACACTAATTAATAATTTAATATTAAACATTTTGAGTTTATTCAGAACATATTAGAAATTGCTTATTCTAAATTAATCTTAACTATTTTAAATTCTATCTAAGCTAAATTAATAACTTATTGATCAATATATAATATAGAAAAATTGTTAAAGAAGAAGAAAAACTTTTTGTAACTGATAAACATTTTTGAGAAGTTACTCATCTTTAAATCTATAATTTTCAGCTATGAAGAAACATGCAAAGTTTTTTAGAAGTAGAGTTTCAATTATGGTACTTTAAATTTATCATTATAGTATATTTTTAAACACTCATCTGAAAGTGTTCTGATTAATGTGTTTTAAATAATAAACATTTTAATCAAAAACTTTTTAAAAATTATATATGTAAATAAAAAATCTTACTGTGTTAAATTATTTAAGTAATTTAAATAATAATATTTTATATATTTTAATATATTACTATATACAATATTTATAATTGCACTTTTATAAGTTAAGCAAACTTTCAGATAAATTATTAGGTTAAATTATAACTATGAAATTTAATTATAAATATGTACATTTTTTAGATTTTTCTGAAGAATATGAATGGCTATTTTTCAAGAATTAGATATTGATTCAGGGACATAAATGGAATTTGGGGCAAAAGGTATAACAGTAGAATATTTATTTTTATAAAAGCAATAATTATTGAATTTTCTAACAGTTAATACTGTATTATTTAAAAAAAAAGGAAAATATGATTAACAAATTCAAAATAATAAAATATTTTTTTATTTTCAGATTTTAATATGTAAATATATTAATGAAATCATATAATGAAAAAAATGGGAGATCTTCAATGTACAGTTGAATTTTGTATTGAGCTTCAAAAATTTATTAATGTAGATCTTTTTCAACGAGGGTGAGTTTTAAATTTTAAATATAATTTTGTTTTTTAAAAAAAACAAGTAAATCAAATATATTTTTTCAAAAAATTATTATTATTATTTTCTAATGAATATTACACTGCTGTTTTGCTCTTAATTGCAAACATTATATTATACTATAGCTTTGTAATTGGAACACTGAAGATATTTTTATGACGACAAAGAAAATAATTAATACTACAAAATGTTTCTTTTATTTTTGTTTTTTTTTAATTCTGTTATTATGAGCTCAAATAAAAGTCTGATAGAAATTCTAAATATCATATCAATTGTGCTATATGTTGGTTGCATCAATACTCATAACTTAAGGAATGTCTTGCAGATGGCAGCATGGTAATATGATGCTATGATGATGAGCTACATGACATCATAGTAGTAGTATAAAGATTGCTGCCTCACTAGAGATAAGCACAAAAGAAGAGCAGTGTTCTGTCATCTTTTTGAGCAGTGAAGAGGTGAATCTATTGAAATTCTTCAATAAATGAAAGTAAAGCAAGGTGATTCATGTGTCACTCTAAATGTATGAGTGAAATAAATAGTTTGAAAATTAATTTGGTGACAAACACTTCTCAACCAGATTGCAAAAGTTGAACACATTTTTATGGAGTATTGTTGAGCGACAGCAAATACTACAGCTGTTCTTCTGGACATCAGTTGTAATTCAGCACACTACATCATCCATAATATGCTCCAATTCCCCACAATGCAGCCACAGCATCTGCCTTCCGAATTGAAATGATATGTTGTTGAAAATTAAGATTATATATATTCAAAGAAACCTCCATTAATGGACACTCTTGAATAGTGGACACCTCTATTTAATGGACATTTGTACCATACAATCCCCAGACTTTTCAAATAGACATCTATAATATTTACTTCTAAATTGCAGATGCCATCATCCATAACCAACCAACCTTACAAAAATGTAAAGTCCTGTTTTCAGTATTCTGAATGAATTAATTACATATGAAATATTTTAAAACAAAAACAAAGAATTAGTTCAAATACTCTTTCAGACAATGAATTTTGACCATAGGCATCAAATAATGACTGGTTTAAAATAGGAATAGGGAAGGAGGGCAGGTTATAAGAAGTTGAACAATATTCTTTACTTGTTAGAGAAATTTAATCTGGTTAAGTTGTCAATCACCACTTATTATACATATCAATGTTATTAAACTTTAGTCTTATTGTTGGAATTAAGCTTATGATACCAAAAAACTATAAACTTTCCTGAAGTTTCATTTGACAGGAATCATAGTATAGTAGTAATGAAAAATAAACTTAACATCATAAATGCGAGAAAATATCTTTGCACATTTTAGAGTGGTCAGCAAATCTCCTTCGTAACATGACCTTTTAGCTTTCATCAAACAAATGCTGTTGTCATAACCGTTTTAACAGCTCTATGGTGTCTAAAGTGTAATTTTTAATAAATTAGTTACTGAAAAACGCAAAAATGTTTGAAAAGTCGCACCTACTTGATAACTACAGAGCAGACAAAGCTCTGTATCAAATTTTATTAGTTGCTTAGATCGTAAATGATGTTATAAATGTAACAATTTCCAATATATTTCTCACTCCTTCAAGTGGCTAGCAAATTGCCTTTATAACTCAACATTCAAACAAGATTCAATTAAAACAAGATTTTTACAGCTGAAAAAAATAAATAATATAGAATATATAATTAAAATATATATACACTATGTATACATTTCAGTATATTTATATTCCTAATGCAAATTTGATGTTTTTGTAATCCAACATATTCTTCACTTTATAATGATCAGGTTAAAATACAATATGGCTGCTGACATATATCTCCGAATAGCAGAAAAACTTCTCAGTCTGATGATGTCTGCTATTTGGAGATTATATTGTATTTATAAAACTATAAAATAAACTGTGTTTGTTTAGTTTTATATAGATAATTAGTTTTTTACAAATATAACAAAATTATTATTTATTTTCATTGAATATTAAATTTATTTTCAGATATTATCAGATCCGTACATCTTTGAGATCATCTCCTAAATTACCTGCTAAAATTGAAGTTACTTTGCCTCGAAATTCATGTATGTTAAAAACAATAAATGTTATAAAATGATTTGATATACATTAATTTATTATATAGTTTTCATATTTATTATTTAATATAAATTTTATGCATTGTATCATTTAATCTTATGAATAATAATTTTCACATTAATAATATATGCTGTTTCAAAATACAGTCAAATCCCATTTATGTTTTTCATGGGAACTGAAAAAAATATCATGTAAGTGAGAAAAATGTACAAGTGAACTAAGAATTTACTTTTGAGTTGATATTAGAGTGGATATAGTTGTCACAAAAATATGATGTGTTACAAATTAACACTGTACAACTGAATTTGTACAGTGTTAATTTGTAGTTTTAGTTGACTATATGTTGTATAATACATTGGAACAACATATAAAAAGAAAAATAAAACAATGTAAAATCAAGTTATTTACTTTTAAAACATTGATCAAGTTTTGTTTGATTTTTGTTTTAATGGACATGTTAGATAGTGGTACAGTATGTGATTGTGATATCAGCTGTCTCCTTTTGCCAAAACTCCACTTTCTTGAAAGAATTATCTTAAAGGTTAGCTAACACTGATTGCAAATAGTGAAAATGAATGAGAAACCAGAAAGCAATTTTTATTTGCTTAATGAAATTGCTGTACCCCAAAACATAGAAAGGAAAAATTTTTAATGTGTTGGACTAGCAGAGAAATTTGCTAAACAGGAAATTTATTGGGGTTATGTATTATTCATTCTGGTTGTTGCATTTGCTGTCAGTTTTGACTAACCTGAAATGAATATATAATTTTCTTTTTCATTTTTTTTAATAATTGCTCTACATTTTTCCACATCAAAGTGAATAATACATAAATGAGAAAAATGTATTTTAGGGTACTAAAAAATATAGTATGACATATAAGTATGAATATGTATAAATAAAAAACATATAACTGAAGTGTTTTATAATGGAGAAGTAATTTCTCCATTATAAAACACTTCAGTTATATGTTTTACAGAAAATATTTAATGTATAATTGTGAAAAATTTACAACTGAGAAGTGTATAAATCAGGTTTGACTGTAGTTAACAAATTTTCTAAATATGAGCATTATTATATATAAACACACTTTAAAGTTTTTTAAGTTGTTATTTTAGACTTTACTTTTCTACTTTCTTTTTGGAATATTTTATGAAAGATTTCGCTTTATGATTTTTATTGAGATTTATTCCAGTCATCTAATACAATAAAACTACATTGACATTTCACTCACTCATTGACATGAATGAATTGAGTAGATGTAGACTTTTTTTTTTTATAGAAAAACAAAATGATACAGCAAAAAATGTTGAGAAAGTTACCAGAAAGAATTTGAAATCTTGGAAAAAGTAAAATATTTTGTGTTGTGCAGTGTCAAAGTTTAACTCTTGCATCATAAAATGTCACAGCATCCAATCTGTCATCATCAGATATACAAATGGTTAAACACCATTGCTTGCTTTTTAAAGATGTTTTTTATTATTTTTATTAATTTGCATATTAAATTAAAGCCCTTGTTTCTTACTATTGATTATTAAATTTTATTTAGTTATTTAATCAATATAAGTTCATGTAAAAAATTATTCTAAATTAAATCATAGATGTGGTGAGCATTGTGAAGCAATGTAAAATGCTGAAACTGGATCTTCAAAGGTGATCAGGGAGCTTCTAGTAGTGAAATAAGAATTAGAACTGAAGAGTTTTGGTATCTGATATTAACAAATCATTATATGAAGAAGTTTAATAATGTTTAATAAGTGATTTATAGTTTAAATCAGCAGTTTTTGAACCAAACATATTAAACTAGTGAATTTTTCAAATATTTACCCAGATACTATTAAAAAATGACTTTACATACAATTTTTTAATTGTAAAAATAAATCAAATAATATAAATAACCTACTAACAAAATCAAAAACAGTATTCTTTACATAAATAATTCAATACACATTATAATAACTACAAAGAGAGAGTAATCAATATGATTATTCTTATTTTTTGTTGTTGAATAATTTTCTGACTGTTGAAACTGAAATAGTGAATTCAAGGCATAGATAAAACTGTTTTCTTTTCTCAATATTAAGAATAAAATGTCTGCTTATACTAAAATGTCTAGGATTATAAAAATCATCATATAATTCCATTAATAATTTCTCTGTGTTTAACTTTTACAGACGAATAAAAATTTTCTATGGTCCAATATACATAGTAACAATATTAGATATTGAAATATATCTGAATATGAATAATTTTTGATTTAAATGTATTTTAAAGTTTTTGACTCCATTAAAACATTTGATTTATTTTTCTATAGAGTAGAATTTTAGTTTTTCTTTTACATTATTGCATAAAATAAATATATTTCTAATATATTACTGTATCTTTTAAAATCTAACATACAATAAAATTATTAAATATCTATAAATATTTTTATTTTTAATAATTTTTAGATATTAAATTAGAAATTATTTACTATTGATGATGTAATTATAATCCAAAAGAATTTGGACTACATTTACATATACCACCTGAATTAATTAAATAAAAAACTGTATATAAAATTATTTACTCAGAGAAAAAACAGAATTATTTTAAGAGAAAACATATACAATAAATATTATTCTTTAGATCAGTTTTTATTTATTGTATTTTTATCTATTTTTAGCTTGTTCACTTACATTTCCTGCCTGTNAAATTTTTGTTCTATTTTATTTATATTCAAATGTTCTTAGCCTGATGATGGCCAACAGATTTGGCTGAAAACATTTGCATTTTCATTAAATTTTCTCAGCAAATTAAGGTGTTACATTTTTTTGATTTACATATGCTGAGTGAGTGTTTTATAAAATAGGTTCGAGAAATTTTACATAAAGCTGATTTCCAGCTTATGGTTGAATTATGGTTTACTGATCAAAATTTTGGGTAAGTTTTTTTTTTATTTTGAAATTATCATAAAAAATATGTATTAAATTCTTTGTTTCAGAATTTTAACACACATACTGTTATATACCATGACACATTTTGTTTTTATATATATTTGTGACATATACAGTGGGTGATTGGTTAATGAACAGTTTGGACTATAAACAAATTGGACAACGAACACTTTCATGAAAGATTTTTATGTTCGAACAATGAACACCTCACAGAAGAAACACAAGAAGCAATGCTGCATTTAAGATTTGTAAAACTATATTTTAATGGCATCTGTACATGGTTTATGGAACAAGACTTTCATAGTTGTATAAATAACCTTTTTTGCACTAGTTAAGTTCTGTTCTCTGAATTTTTGTAAGTACTTTTCTGAACTTCTTATTTAAAAAGTGATAAAATTATGGGGCCTAAAAAGAGTGGAGTGTCAAGAACTGTGTTCACTATAGAAACTAATGGGACATTCCAATTTTCAACACTAAGCACTGATCTCAACATTTGTTAAAAGTCGTTTTTTTTTTTCTTAACGTTGAAGTGGCACTGTTGTCAATGCTGACTCAAGACACTCAGTACTCAACAGATATGTTGACCTCTGCTTTCCAATGGATTATGGGTAATTGGTGTGACATTTGAATGAAATCCATCTTGCTAAGCATTTCGTACTCGTAGTTGGAACGTTGTTGATGATGTCAAATTGTTGGTTTTAACACTCAACACTCATGTTGAAAATTGGAATGTCCCGTAAGCAAGAGATAACAACCAAGGTAGAGAGTGGCAAGTGTCTGATATTGTAGGCAGATGACTTCAACAGATCTACAGTAGATAAAACTTAGCTAAGAAAGATGTAATCAAAAAGACTCAAGCTGATAAAGGAGTAACGAAAATCACATCTGGGAAACAAAGATGTGCTATCCATGAAAGAATGGACAGATTGCTTTTAGTTTGTTATTACATGTAAATAAACATAGTAAGAAAATATAATTATTTATTTATTGTTGTGGATCTCCAGAACGAATTAATCAAATTCCCCAAAAATCTATGGTAAATTGATAATTGGTTAACAAACAATTCGGATAGTGAACACGGTCTTGGAACGGATTATATTCATTAACCAATCACCCACTGTATTTTGTTATGTTATAAATTATGATGTGAATTATTCATTATAAAGTTCATAAAAATCTAGATTTAATTTATATCCCTTTATATAAGCAAAAGAATTCTTCAGTTATCTAAGTATTATTATTATTAACTTTAAATCTTTTAAAAATGATTGAAAGTAGGTATTTTTTTCATAGACTTAAGAACATTATTTTTGAATGCATGTGATACAGTTCAATCATTATATTTTTAATCATGTTTGCATAATAAGTTTAATCGTGTTAAGATTCCACTTGTAGACAAATAAATAAAAATCAACTCCATATGTAAGGGTCACTGACAGCAGATCAAACTGTATTTCAAGAATGATTTTAAACCTTTCCAGAGAAACAAAGACCATGTGATGAGGAAACATGGACACAAGGTCTTTGTTGGGCAATTGGGCAAAACTGAATACTTTTGATTCTTGAATGTTCTCAATTCTTAAATGAGTTTCTGAGAACAGTTCTCAGAAACTCAAAGCAAGAAATGCAACTGAAAAAAATGAAAAAAATTCAAATGAAAAAAATTCATTGTTCATTGTTTAATGAGCAATGAATTTTTTTGAAAACAATGACAGTAAGGAAACACATGTTGTCAATTTGCTTTGTATGGAGTAGTTGGTAACTAACTAGAACTAAGTATTTGAAAGCAAGTTGATTTACATGTTGATAGCTATAGAAATTGAAGTAAACAATTAGAGTATTAAAATTCCTCAAGAAGTCAGATCACAGAATAACAGTTGCTGTGTTATTGTAATGTGATTAGAATTTACATTGGCAGAATGAAACACTAGTTTTTGGTTCTTAAATTGATTTATTTACTGTAGTGTGAGCTCATAAATTATTGCATCTGAGAAGTATTTGATACCTAGCACAAGTTATTGGAAATAACTATTTAGAATGGAATAGTTTTCAATTTTTGTAATTGAATATACCATACTTAGTTGGAATCACTGAATTAAATCTAGTAATAAAACTTTTTCATGTATGTTAAATGATTTTACTATAACAAATAAATATAACTGTGTGACATTTATCTGGTATACTTTAAAGTTAAAAAAGAAGAAGAAAATACTTAAACCTATTCAAAATGGAAACCTGCCAAAATGGAAAAAGTAGTTTAGTATTGTGCAATTTCTGTTTACACAGGTTTTACTTTATAAAAGAATAAGGATAAAGAGTACTGCAAAGAATATATTAACTTTGATGATAGGTTATATACATTTATATAGCCTGTGTGTGTGTATATATATATATTTTTTAGAAAAAGAAATCAAATGTTTTATCAAATAGTGTAAAATTAGTACAATTCAGTACTTTTTATACCAAATAATGTTCATGATTATGCATTCAAAATTATTAAGCAAAATCTTTACATGCCATTACAATATTAGATATATACCCTGTATTATATTTCTTGAATATAACATGGCATACATGAACACTTTTGTATCAAAAAAACATAACACCTTGCTGAGAAAATTAATGAAAATGCAAACGTTTTCAGCCAAATCTGTTGGCCATATAAATAAAATAGAACAAAAATTTTTGTTCTATTTTATTTATATTCAAATGTTCTTAGCCTGATGATGGCCAACAGATTTGGCTGAAAACATTTGCATTTTCATTAAATTTTCTCAGCAAATTAAGGTGTTACATTTTTTTGATTTACATATGCTGAGTGAGTGTACTTCACTTTTGTATCCATTTTCACATAAATTCAGATATTTAAAATTGTATTATTCTAATTTATGAATTTATTATTTAATTCAAGACATTGTATTTGTTTATTTTTCTATTATTATTATTTATTTATTTATTTATTTCATCATTATCCTCAGAAAGGATTGAATTATGTTCTATGAATTTTTTTCTCAAAAATTGGCACAAATCGTAGAATAAGTCCTGCACGTATGAACTATTTACTACTTTATCATAGATGTTCTGGGATCATATTGTAGAGTATCATTTGGAGCAGTTTCATTTTATTACTTACTTGAATCCTGTTTAAGGAATGAAATCATTTTTGATCAGAAAGAATTCTGCTTTAGACTGAGTTGACAAAAGTTAGAGTTCTTATCTAGAGGTATTTTGAATTAATCTTTTCAGTTTTCCATTATTATTTATTTCATTTTATTATACAGTAGAGCGTCATTTATCTGAATCAATTGGGGACTGGGGTTGTTCGGATAACTTATTTTTTGGATAACCAATTACATACAAAAAAAATATATTAACCTATCCCATGTTGAAATTTTTCTTCATTGCATGTTGCTTTGCATTGAATTTTCGTCAATGTTAAGCCTAACATAAACTTTTTAAAATAATAATCGTGGCTATTGTATTGTTAAAAATTATTTCTTTATTTTTTACAAACAAAATAAGTATCTTGAAAAATATAAAAACAAAAAAAAAATTATACTTTAGAAGTTACTCTAATATCAAAAACGTTTGATTCAGCATGACACACAGTACTCAGAAAAACACTACACAAAAGTGTCAGTGCTGCCAGCTAAAACACACACACACACTAACAAAAAAATATTGGAGTAGCCCAAGATATAGCCAAAGATTGCAGTGCTACAGCACTAGTGAAAATTTAAATTTGCCAATTGGAATGCTTTCAGTTAACCGACATTTTGGATAACTGGCTTTCGGATAAATGACACTCTACTGTATTATCATACTAATATCATAGAAATGAAATATTTTTTCATCCCAGAAAAACTGATCTGTTATTAATGGGTCAGATATACAAACAGACTATTTTCTAGTCCAAAAGTGTATTAGTATTATACTGTTGTTTGAAATCCTTAGAAGTTCTATTTCACTATATTAATGATTTCTTATCAAGGATTAAAATTTTAAACTAGAAAACCATCTGTAGAATGGTTAGGAAATTATTCAATCAATCCATTACTTTGGGCAATGGTGCCCAAACTTTTTGATTGGTGAGCAAAATTGTGCATAAGTAATAAGTAGGCAGACCATAAATATTCTGTAATATCATGTATACAAAAATTAGCTTATTTCTATCATTTATAAGTGATGTATCAGATGTGTTTATAGGCCAGATTAATGTGTGCCCAAATTTGGTTTGGGCACACATTAATCTGTCTTAGGGAATTAATTAATTAACTGGCTTAGGGAATTAATTAAATTGAGGGATGCTATATTAATACTCTCAGTAGGATCCTGAATACTTCTCAGAATATTCTGGATTCTACTAAGAGTATTAATATCACATTTCTGGAAATGACTCCAATAATAATTATTGGAGTCATTTCCAGAAATGTGGTAAACTGATACAAGAGATAGGAGATATATGTAAAAAAAATTGTTTTATTTGCTAGCAACTTTTTTTGACTTGCATACTCCTTGGTAGCTTGTTTTTCTAAAATGTACCTCTTACATTAGAAAAATGTTTGTACTTTATATAGTTGTATTTTAAACTTGTTGAAACTGTAAATAAATAAAAGTGAAATGGCAAGAAAGGTGCACAGGGCTACTGAATTGACAAAGATTAAAAGGTTATCTGTATAGGTACAAATTTTTAGTGTTTGGTTTATCTACTTTTCTACTTACCCCACACCATTGCTCTTTGAAATTGGTTAATAAAAAAGAAACTAATAATAAATTGTATATATGTATTTAAAACTCAGAAGATCAATTTATTGAATTTAAGTTATGTGATATTGCCAAAGGCCTCTAACACAGAGTTCAAATATTTTTATAGTACATCCACCATTAATAATTTTTCTTTGTGTACCCCTAAACTATCAAGCACATACCCTTAGGGGTATGCATACCCCCAATTGGAAATTTCTACTCTAGATAGTGGATTAATTAATTAATTAAAATAGATTCTCTAAGGACCAATATGAAATGCTTTCAAGGAATTTCAGAACACTTGTTAGAGAATATAAAAAAATAATAATGATAATTTTACTTTGATTATTACTAGATTGATTGATTTTTTTTAATCTTGTTTTTATTGTGTTAGGATATAATTACTTAACTTTGTTGTTTATTTTTTATTTTATTTTTCTGTTTTTAAAGGTGTAAAATACAAACGAAATCATTATACTGCCATATGCTTACAGTACATGCAATTTTATAGATAATTTCAAATTCAAAGTTATAAAAAGCTGTTATAATTTCATTCTGGTATCTTATAATAAATTTCATGTAATTAGTGAACTATTATTATTTAAATTTTTAGCAGATAATTTAATGTACTTTTAATTTTGAATTATATTTTTAAAATTGATTTTAAAATTGATTTTTTAAAATTGATTTTAGTCCTGATCAGCATAACTCCATCCAGTGTGTCAGTACACGTATTTTGCATTTGCACTTTGATCCATCAAGAGGTCTTCATCATCATATACCTGTATTCTTTGATTATTTTCATCTCTGTGCTGTTACAATCACTATACACTCTACTGTTTTGGCTTTATGCCAGCCTTATCTCAGGTTAGTGAAAATTTAAAATTTTATAAATTATAAGAGTAAAGAATGTATATTGTTTAGCCATAACTTCTAAACCAATCAGTTCTGTGGAAAACTTTTGATGCCACTTTTTAACATAATTCTCATCTTTGTCAAGACACACTTGTCATCTCTTTAACCATTTGTTAAAGTACTGTGCAAACTTGTTTTCTGAAGTCCTTCGGAACCACTGCAATACCAAGAGCAGATCTTGACGAATAATGCATACCATAGAATGAATCCTTCAGGTTTACATTTGCAAACCTGAAGGAAACCTGAAACAGCCAGAAATCACTCAGAGCCAGATCTGATGAATGTAGAGAATGTGCAAGATTTTGATTCTCTATCAGAAAATCTCAGACAACTTGAGTTTTGTGCAGCAGAGCATTGTCTCACTGCAAGACAAAATTGGTACACCATTCACGAATCACAGGCAGCAAATGTTTGTCCAGCATATGTTTTGCATACTGACCAGTAATTATATCACAGTTTTCAGGAGAAGTTGCAATGGCAGGATGATCAGAGTGTGGTTCATCTTTGATAGTTTCTTCCGCCTGGAAATTTTTAATCTACTTATGAACTGTGCAGTCAGCGAGATGAGACACCAATTAACTGCTTTTGAATATCAGCTACTTTTTCACCACGAGCAAACAAAAATTTGATGACAGCACGTAGTTTCTGAACAGAAAACTTTGTGCTTTTCGACCACACTCAGAAACAAGTCTGTGAAAAACATGAATTACTCAGCACCTGCTGCTGACACACCAATGGAACTTCATAAGTCAACTAGCAAAGGCTTGTTCAAATTTGTCCCAAGAGGGCATGCTTGCATAGTTTTCTGTGCCCCACTAGAAGGAAACTGTACATAATTCTTGTATGCACCTTGTATATAATCAAACATACCAAAAATAAAGCAAAAAAAAAAAGCACTGAAAATGCACAAGTGTAATACAGGAGATGCTTTCATAGTAAGAGCAAGTGATGACTTGGGCACACAACAGATATTGTTCATGTAGTGAGTGAATTTTTTCACTGCATGTGCAGTATGAATGTAGAAGGATTGTTTGAACTCTAAATTGAATCTCTCTCAAATTTAGCATTTGAACTCTGGAATGTTCAAGATTAGTCGTGATGTACCACTGTAATAATGACAACAACAAAGCAATAAACATGTCATTTCAATATTTGCTTATTCATTTACACTTATACTCCGGAAATGTATACAACAGCAAAAATAATTCAAAAGGACAGTATTAACAAAACAACAAACACCATTTTAAATCCTCCTTAGAAAAGTTGACACTTTTGTTTTAAAGATGGAGGACAAGGCTTAACAGATAAAGTGTGGCCAAAAAGTTGTTTTCCAAATGGGGAAAGGAGACAAATTGCAAATTACAGACAAAAGACACTGTAAATGACTTTAATGACATTTAATGCAGTTGTATGAAGTCAGGTTGAGACTAATGTGAGTATGGAGTGTTTGTACAACACTCCACAGTACTTGTCAACACTCATGTTCAAAGTGTTGTCCACATACTTGAATACAGTGTTGTACGCAATGCAGGACTTTATGTGTCAATGTTGCAAGAGTCATGTGTAATGCTGTGAAAACAGTACCAAGTAGTTATTGCACCTAAAACAGTAAGAACAGTGATTATCCCAATTTGGAAAGCAAATTTTTTTGCCACACTGTATAATAAATCTTTGCAACAAACACATACAGTACAAAAGTATTTCTATCTACAGAAAACAACAAACATCACAATTGGGAACTTTCAAAAAAATTTATTTATTAATAAATAGCAGTCATTATGATAGAATTTTGGTTGAGAAGTGAGAAAATTGCAATAAAGAATTTGAAATTGCAATAGTTAAGCATTAAAAAAAAGTTAAATATATGAATAAAATTATGTGACCTAACACATGATTTCATTGGTTTAATGTCACTAACTTGTAGCATGTAATTGATTAACTATTGACACTGACTCTTGATTTTAAGTTATGAATATGGATGATAAAATGTGAATGTATGAAAAGATTTAAATAATTAAGATCACATTAAAATAATTTATAAAATAAACCTTATTAAAATAAATTCTCTCCTATTTTTTAGTGTGAATACTATGTGTATTTGCTCTTTTATTATTATTATAAGATTAGTTTCCATTCAAAATAACCAAAGACTGCTTCAGAAAAGCCCACTCTAAAAATCTGCCACTTGTGGATTTGTTCATGGTTACATTTTTAAAAAATATTGCTTTGTAGCTGTGGAAATTCATAGATTCAAGACAGCATAGAAAGTAGATCAGTTAATGTCATTCTAACATTTCTAATATTTTAATAAATTTATGTATGTTTTAAGATGTTGAAATTTTAATGATTAATTATTCAAATTGTTCAATTATTTAACGACAAGAATTTATAAATTTTTTTTCTTTAAATTGTTAACATTTTTTTGGATATCTTTTCTGTATATAAGTTTATCATAAAAATTGCAAAATATGGCATCATTTTTACAAATAAATAAATCAATCAATACCAAAAACAAAAATGGTTTTGGTCAAAATTGATTGTTTTCAGCTCAGAATATTTGTTAAATAGATGGTTCTAAGATTTGGTTTATCTGTATATATGCCATTTTTCAGAAAAAATAGTTATTTGAAAATAAAGAAGAAAACTAACAGAAACTGACATTATGAATTTTCAAGTATACTGTTGCTTTCAAATATATAAATTGAATTTAAATTATAATTTTACCCTATAGTTATGACTATTTTTTAAATTAAAATTAATAACTAATAAGTTATAAAATATTTATTGAATATATTTTACAGTTTACAACGGTCTTCAAGACAGTCTCTGGGAGGTGGTAGTCCTCGTTTATCTAATAAAAAACCACATCGTTCAAGTTTAGAAACTGTATTATTTGGAAATCAGGTATTAAAACTATTATGTAATATTACAGGCATACCTTTTCTTTAAGGCAGCTTGTTTTAGAGTGCTTTGCCAGTATGCCATTTTTCAATTACTTTCATCTTTATTTTTGATGCTTGCCTTGCTCCTAAGATGTTTTTGGTTATTTTTATTTATTTTTACTTTTGAATTTGTTTTTTAGGCCTAGTATTATTGTGCACTTAATAATTAATAGTGTAAATGTGTGTTTAGGCTTTTATATGCACTGGCAAGTGAAAGAAAGGTTGTGATTTGCTTTAAGGTAATATTCGTTTTACAGCAGTAGTCTGGAACCTAACCTGTCATATTAGTAAGGTATGCCTGTATATAAAATTTTTGGTTGATAACAAAACTAGAATAGCAATTTTGTGTTGCATTTTGTCTTTTTTTTTTTTTTTTAAATGTATTAATTTTTATTAAAACACGTTAGTTTTTCTATATTTTTTTTCATTTTTTGAGTCATTGCAGGGTTGTACTCCTCAAGTTGGACGAATTATGCCTTCTACTGGAAGATTAAATCGTGCTCGTCTAATACATTGGGAATTATGTAGCCTATTACTTTCTGCTTATACAAGTCTTCAAAAGCGATTAAGTGAATATTTGAAATTACTTCCACCATGGCAACAAATTAAAATAGGTTTATATCAAATTTATATTTAATAAAATACAAAGCTTAAAACAATTTGAGTATATTATATATCAGATTTATTTTACAGCAAAAGCTGATTTAAATCTTTTAGTATGCCATTTTGCATAATTTCTGAATAATTTTACTTTTTCATCTATCAGGTCAACTCATTCACCAGTTGCTTTGTCATAGATGAAATCATATTTAAAAATTCTGTTTCAGTATTAATTTGATTTTGAATATACTATGATTGTTTTCAGCTAATGTGTTATATTTTGCCATATATTACAAATCATTGTCTAAATATAACTGATTAATTTCTATTTGTGAATTATATATTATTATATAAAATATATTATTAGTTTCATGTAATATCTATTTGAACTTGTGTTCAAATAAATGGGAAACAGTTAAAAGGTAGAAATAGGATTTGGAAAATCATTAAATTTTTGAAAATTTTAGGAATTTCAGTTTGAATTTTTAATTAAAAAATTTAAATTTATTTACTTATTTTAAAACTTTTAATGAATATTTTGCAGTCTTTGCAGTTATAAAATAAAATGTTTTAGAATAGGAAATCAAATTATTATTGAATTTTTATTGGATGTTATCTGTAGTTGTTATTAATTTCTATTTAGCCAAGATACATTGTTTGTCATGAAATCTGCATAGTTTCCATGCTGCCTTAGATTACACGAACATTTTGCAGGAAAGTATTAACATTCAACAAAAGAGGCAGGATTCTTAAACTGGAAAATTAAACTAGGGATGTTGATACATGCAGCCTGTCACTATATTGTCTTCTTCTAGTCACACTTCAATTTAAAATATAAGCTTCTCATAAATAATGAGAATCTAGCCCAGTTTTGTTTAGCACTGATGCTTTCCTGCAAGGCAAAAGGGAAACTATAAATTTATGACAACACTATAAAAATATTGACATTCTAAGAAACAACTCCTCAGAAACTGGAATGTTTCGCATGAAGCTGGAAGAAACAACCTTCCTTACTTTTTTAGCAATTATTTTTATTACAACATAAATGCTTTTAGCCTCATTTAGTTTATAGGTATGCTTCAAGCTGTACACTATATCAAACAATCACTGCTTTGGGATGCAGCCAAAATTATGAGAATGGTTTATGATGACTGAAAGTTAAGAATCCTGGAAACACTTGAAATTTTCTGGGCTAAAATCAAAGTAGAATGTATTAATAATAAAGAAAATGAGACATTTTCCCTAACCTGACTATTGTGAATTGACACCTCCCCCAGTGAGACAGCAGCTGATTGAACCAAGTACACATACTTTATTATATCAAATGCACAATGTTATTTGTTCTAGTCATGTTTGGTAACATATCAGTTTTATTTAATTTTATTTCCTAAAATTTTTATTTTTGTTTTGAATTCTGTTTGTTTTAATATTAAAAAAAATCATTTTAAATAATAGAATTTGGAACGTTCAGTTTTCTGTTCAATATAGTTTAAAGACTGAAGCAGGCTCCTAAATGAGGCTGAAAACATTTGTGCTATAATTATTATTGCTAGAAAGAAGTAAGGAAAGTTATTTTCTTGTTTGAAATATTAAGATTTCAGAAGAATTTTACTTCTGTCTTAGTTATGAGAACATTTTAAAAAAATAAATGAATTGAATAGATTTTACATTGATGATATATGTGAGACTATGGGGGCTGAGAGTGTTACTCGTAATCCTTTGGTCTGTCAGGTCGTTAAAACTCACTCAATGAGTCACTGGATGGCTTTTTATAGAATGTCATGGGGATCGCAGGATCCTTCTGATGTCATGACTGACACTAGCTAGGGTAGGAGTTTTGTGCCCTAACTTGCAATGTTACAATCTAGATGTTAAATGGAAGGCTATATTCTATCAAGCAGGGAGGAGTCATGGGTAAGTTTGATTGTAGTGGGGTGAATGTCTGTACTTAACTAACAGAGGGAATCAGACAGGTTAAAAAATAACAAAAAGGATTTAATGAGTAAAATGAAACAAAGAGATACACAAATCAAGATACATAATATAACCTAGTGTAAATCAAGCCTATCTAAACTACACCTCTTAAACAGGAGAAAGAGAGGTTACAATCGATTAAAAATAATGATAGTCCTGCTCCAACTCTCCAGCAGTCATCTCGCATTCTCCATATTTGATCAACAGAGGTATTATAATATAATCATCATCTAATCAGTATGGCAGGTTTGAATTCCGTGGACTGCCTTTCGTTTATGGCATGTTCCTTCTTTCCTTGAACTGCCCCAAACTCGTGAATTTTTCTTCTTTTTTATTCTAAGTTTCCTCCAATCAAATTTTAGTGTTCCGATCATCTGACAAGTCATACATCTGATGCAAGAGACATATGTTCGTCAGATAATTGCAATAAGAACTTTCTAAGGGAAGTTCTACTTTCCTTTCCCACACAAAACAACGATTTTTGGCCTATTTCATAGCTAAAATATTACATAGAAATTATTAATCAAGTGGGAAAATCTAAGACAGTGATAAAAAAAAAAAAAATGAAGAATTTTCGAATACAGTAAGAGCCCATTTAACGTTCCTGGATGACAAAGTACTAAACAAAACAGCGTTAAACAAGATTATTTTAACATAGAGTAAATAGAGAAAGGGGAACACGCAATCAAAGATAAACAGATTTTACTTTAATTTTACATTATTTTATATTAATTTGCATAACAATATATGTTAAATAACACACAAACATATGCACACAGAAATGTAAAGTTCATTTTTTGTGACGAAGGTCCTGGCTTTTCTGAAATTCTTGTTTTTTGTGATAAAGTAGTGTAGTTTCATTTGTCGCTTTTTTCTTTCTTTAAGCAAATGTCAGTAGCAGAAGAGCAAATCCAAAATGTCTCATTTTGCTTTTGCACTCCTTTCAAAATCTGGATCATTCACTACAATTTCATCAATGATTTCGGCTATCGTTACCAAACTTTTACTAAGGAAATCTGTAGAGAAATTCTTTGGGTTCTTCGTTTTCAGAATCACTATTTTCCAGTTCCACATGAATTCCTTGTTCTGCCAGTTCTTGAAGTTCATCATTGATAAGGCTCTCACCAGAAACTTGCAGTAACTTCTCAATATCCTGCTCGTCTATTTCTCCTAGTTTTGCTGTATTGATTAGTTTGACAATTTGGTCAACCTAACGATACAGCGATAGGCTCCTCTCGCAGAGAATTCTTGGATACTTTCAGCCATAAATTCTTCCACACTTTGTTTGTGCATTTATCAGTTACTTAAGTTGATATTGTCTATGGCATCCATGATGATATATTTTTTCCAAAATTGCACAAAACAAACATAAATTTAAGGGAAGTACAGCACTACAATGAATTGCCAGCTTTTTCTGATTGGTTTATGTTCGTAAATAATCATATTATATGTGAATTGATGAAAAGCTGCAATAATTTGAATCAGCGTAAATTTTCAGCTTTTTTTTTAGGCTTCGAGCAGACCACGTTATATTGAGGCAGCGTTAAGTGGGGTTTTACTGTAAATGGCTCTCTGCTCTCGCATTCTTACATATAACTTAATTTAGAAAAATGTGATTGATTTATAAAATTTAACTGATTTTTCTTAATTACTGTATATTTCTGCAGATAAGACGATAGTTGAATCATAAAAAAAAAGCTCCCATAATCTGAGGTCATCCTTTAGGACAGATACAAAAAAAAAATTAGATTGAAATTTATATAAATTAAAATCATTATAAAAAAACGGAAAAACCATCATTATTTACTAGTAGAGAGTAGGGTATATCCACAAAATAGAACAGCCTATATGATGTTTTTTGAATAGTCAAGCCGTCACCCAAATGCCCGAATCAGTACAAATGTTTGCAACAATAGCAAGGCAGTGCTGCCAGATGCAAGAAAATAAAATTTCTTCATTTGAAAAATTACGAATGGGACATAATTTCGTATATGCTATACAGTATTATTATCCAGATGATGATTACTAATCTAAACTAAATTCATAGGCCATTGATAGTTTGGAGGTCGTCGTATGTTTGATGAAAATTTACACCTTGTCTTATCTGAAGGTCATCTTATCTACGGAAATATACGGTATATATATGGTATATATAATAACGTTTTCATAAATTTATAAAAAAATTTAATCTCATGATATTTAAAAGTTGTAATTCTTAAATATGTAATATTAATCAATAATCAAATATAAATAAATATTCTGATGTTTTAATAAAATTCACATTTTTAACTGCCTAATTTTAAAACAATTTATTAATAAATCTAAATATTAATGAAAATCTAAAAAAAGATATGCAAATATTTTAGAATACACTATTTCCAATTTGTATGTGCTGTACTTGTGTATAAATTGTTTTATATGTCATTTTGAAGATTATTTGATGTAGATTAGCCCTATTGCATATATTTTACTATATAATTTTATTTAAAAAAATAATTAAAAGCAAAAATATGTTCAATTTTGTTCTTGCTGTAGTGATGCTCTTCCCTGTCATTCAAACTGTTGAACCTGTCCTCATCCACTATAAAAACACTTTTGAAAATAACTTCTCAAGTTGACATTCTTTCATTGATTTCAGATACTTTTAATTTTATGTTATTAACAGAAAGATTATTGTAAATTAAACTTTGATCAGGAAGACTGATGTCATTTCTTACAAATAAAATGGCACCTAAACGAAGAACTCTTACAGATAGGTGAGAAAGAAACAAAGAACTACATTCAATTAAATGTATTTATTTCTGCATGCAAATTGAGTCCTTACTCTGAAGTTATTTCCTCAAAAATTGTTTTATATGAAATTTTAATGATGATATGTCTTATAAAATTTATTAATATAAATTTATTTGTTTCTTTGTATAAATTTATTTGTTTCTTTGTTTTCCTTATTTATTTGTAATTTTTTTTTACAAAAAATATTTTGCTGTGTAAAACTATTATATTTATAATATCTAACTAAATTTTAAAATTTTCTTTTTTTTGCACTTATATGAAACTAATCATTAAACTTACAATTCTGAAAGGTCCTTCCATTTTTGTTCAAAGATCTCCAAACCAAATCAAATTGTTAAATGAAATTGTTCATTTAAGTAACCAATATAATCTAAAAATGTTTTTAACCTCAACATTAAACTTCGTATGTAGGCAAAATAAGGAAGTATCACAATTAGTTTACTTATTGTATCTTTATTTTTAAATTAATGATGATTTTTATACTATTATGATCTGCTGATAAAACTGTGTATCCACCTAAGGATTTAAGAACTAATACAATTAATCTACCTATAAGTCTACCATATTTTGAAGACTGTACAATCGGGGCAAAAATAATACAATAAATCTGGATATAAACTGTTGAGATCTAGCAATTGATGAGAAAGTCTTCAAGTCTTCTAAACCAGCATAGCATACAAGGTATGATCAATAAGTTTCAAGAGTGTTTTCTTTTTACAAAAAATGAAATGTTAGCAGATAGATGTTGCATCCCAGTGATAGTCTAGACCAGTGTTTCCCAACCTTTTTTGTGCTATGCCCCACCTAAGCCTTTCTAAAATTCTCATGCCCCCCTAACATATACAGTGGCTATACCAGGCATGGCCAACATACGGCCTGTCTAATGAATTTATGTGGCCCACGATTAATCTTCCAATATTAGCTACTCAAGTCTGAATAGCTCAATGAAAAATTCTGATGCCTAAAAAAAAAAAGGTCAACAACTCATTTTCAAATTGCCCCCTTGTGGGACATGGGCCCCACTTCAATGTCTAGACCAGTGTTTACTGGTCTAGACATTGAAGTGTTTGTGTACCAGCTGTCATCTTGGTGCTTGCCTACCAAGGTAGAGAGGTGAGAAGAAGAAAGACCATTTTCTCTGCCAGTGTTATATTCCAAAATGTCAGACCTACAGGAGCAATATGTGACAATCAAATTTAATGGAATAAGGGAAAATAGCCATAGAAATCTAAAGAATGCTGAAAGAGGCCACAAAAATGATAGTCCAAATCATGGTTCTCTTTCAACATGACTTTGCATCATGTAACAAGGTACTATGTGTGAATCAGTTTTTGGCTAAATATGATGTCCCATTGGTCAGATATTCTCTGTATTCACCAGATTTATCTTCCTCTGACTTTTTTCTTTTTCCAAAACTGAAAGCTGTGTTGAAGGGAAAATATGGAAGCCATATAGAAAAATACAAGGTTTCTAAAGACCATTTCAAAATCTGAGTTTGGAAAATGTTTCTAGCATCTCCAGAAATGCTGTGAAATGTGTATTATATCTCAAGGATACCCTACTATTTTGAAGGAAACCCATCCTAAGTGATACGTGCTGTCATTCAGTTTTAAAAAAATTCTCTGAACTTATTGATCACACCTCATATTTATAAAACATAAATTTCTTTTTATACCATATGGATTAATTACTTTGAATATTTCCACCATATATGTTTAATATTTTCTCTTGTAGTTCACTTCTTGGGAGGGAGACCTTATTTTAAAAAAGACTGAAACTCCATCTACCATGAAAATCACAACAGAGAATTGCTTATCTCCTTTCATAAATTATGTTATTAAAGTTATATTATGTTAATTTTTCTTTCTTCAGATTTTAGTTTGACCAGTGACATTAATTTATGTTTACGTTTCCTAAGTCATGGTCTCCTACATCAATTAGGGAGAAAAATCACTTTAGACAATTTTCCTTGAAGCAAATTTTGTCTGCTTATCCAATAACACTTCAGAAGTAAATTTTGAGTAGATATATCTTTTAAAGTTTAATGAAAGACCTCACAGAACCAAATTTAAATATTTCTAAAATTTCAGTACCCAAATATGAGAGCAGTTTCAGTTCATTTATAATAAGTTCCTGCATTTCTTTTTGAGTCAGATGAAGAAGGTAGAAAATTTAAAATGATAACATTTATTGGCAATTTATTATTTAATTTAATTTGTTTCAAATTTAAAATAATTTTTCATTAGCCTGATCATTTATTTATCTGTTAAATTATCAATTCTAATCGTTAAATTTTTAAATTACTTAAAAAACATGGCTCCTCTTATCATTAAATTCTATAAAATTGCAAACGTTATTTACAAAACTAATTTTGCTAGGATTAATAATTAAATAAAAATGATTTAATTAATTTGTCTAACAATTAATTAAATTTTTCTTAATTATTATAAACTATGCTTCTTATGTAATTTCAATTTGAGCATCTCAATGGAAATGAGTTAAAAATAACTAAACTTTTAATATGGCTTTAATTTTAATGTTTGCCCTTAATACTTTTTACCTTGAAAATGCTGGGCATATTTGCTAGATTATATTTGTAGTAATACAATAAATGAAAAATGATTATAAATGGTTGTGTGAGTGGCTTAGTCATTTTAATAGAATATTGTAAAACTAATAATGACAAATGTGTTAGTGTTTCTGCAACAAAACTAAGATTAAAAAATAATTAATTATAAAATAATTTTTCTATGTATAATTCTAAGAATTTGGTCTGCAGTAGAATTAATTGTTCACTCTGCATGACTGCTGATGAATTTTTTTAAAATAATTAATTAGATATATTTGATTTTTTTTTAAATCTTTGAAAATATTTTAATGTTGATTTTTTTTTAATTTTAGAATCTCTTGATTGTTCAGATCATTTAGAAAATCTCAGTGAATTTGCAAAGGTAAGAATTTAATTTTGAATACTGAATGAAGTGATGATGATATTTCTGCTAATATTGTATTATTAAGTGATTGATTCTTTTAAATTGTTTTATATTTAAATGTTTACAAATATTTCTGTAGAAATCATCAGAAAAAATTTGTGTTTACAAGGAATTGTATTGTTTTTACACTAATATAAAAACTGAATAATAGAAAGAAACTACATATTTTCTAGGAAAAGGAAATAGCCCCTCTGCACAGATTTTTCTGTTTTAGCTTGTCACAAAAACACAAACATGGTGATATGCTTCTAGTGTTCTGTATATAGCAGTTTAAACCTTGCAGGGAGGACGTGCATATCTATTATCACAGATCACAAAAATGTCAAGAAATATTTAAAACATCCAGATGTGCAGCCAGTAGCCTATCAACTCCAGCAACCAGTTAAAACACACAAATGTGTGGCCACAGAATGCATGCTAGTTTTAAAAAGTTAATTTCATCCCAACAGTTTGTATGTTAAACACCCATTGTAAAGATCAAAATAAAAAGTTATCATAGTGATCAATGTAAATTAAAAGCAATTGCAAACTTGATTGACAAATAGCATGCAATGAGCTTACAATCAGCAATCTGCCCATAGAGTTTACATGGAAAAATTTGACTCCTGACTATCTTGGCCCTTAAGTGAAATTTCAAAATTCTGGCTTTGTCTTGACACAGGCTTTGCTGAGTTGTACATATTTGCAAAAAATGTTTAATGGTCATTTGGTTGCTTTGAACTTTGATTACAGAAATAACACTTTCTGATTTATGAAGAGCTCTGCTTATGCTCCACTCAATAAATAGAAACTGAAATTTATTTAGTTTACGTATTTTCTATTAGTTAAATTAATGTAAAGAATTATTTGAAATATTATTTTAATAATTCATTTTAAAATTGTAATTATATAATTATATAATATGATTGTGAGGAAGTTGTAAACAATTTTTTCAAAATGTCATAAACTGTATATAAATTTAATTATCTATGAAAAGTTACTCAATTATATAATAAATAGAAATATATATAAATAACATATTTAATATTCCATATATTTTAAACCATTTTTAAAATTTAATTTTGTATCTTTGTAATGTAACTTGAAATAAACAGATTTTTAAATATAATTACATAAATTATTAATTACAGAAAACTGATAGTAATATCTTTCTTTGTTCTTCTAAACTAAGGCAATAAAATGAAATAAAATTGTTACACAACTCATGCATTAGTGCTGTCTTATTTTATAAGAACAGAGAAAGAAATACAGTAGTGTTCACTTATTATGAACTTGCCTATAACAAACTCTTGGCTATAACAAGCCAATTGTAAATATATGAACGAAACACTCATAAGAGCAATGTTCTTTTTTTCCAGCTACAATGAATCCATATATAACAAACAATATTATATAATGAACACTATTCATATGTATAAAGTGAAGAACATTTGCTTTATTTATATTTTAAATGTGTGCTTATCTTATGGTATGTGTCTTGTTGCTTTTAATAATGTTACATTTGAAGATTTGGATACTAAATGTGTATTTAATAATTTAGTGCGTACACCAAATTTTAAGATTTTAACATCTGTGAAACAACTGAAGAGGGATGATATGAGTCCAAAATACATTTTGTTAAAGGTACTTAAAAAGAATAAAAAAGGAATGTTATAATATACAGAAGTCATTGTGATAAATTTGGGAAAACAACACTATTAGGTTGCTGAAATAATAATTTAATAAAAAACTGGTAATGTGTTTTCTTTTTGCTATCACCTACATATCAAGTATTAAAAAGAACAAATTTAATCCTCATAATTTGCCAGTTATTTTAATATCTCATATTTCATTTCAACAAAAAAAATGCTTAGTAGAATGTCTTAATAATGTATTTATTACAAAATTTTGTATTTTAAATTTCAAATGTGATACTGATTCAATATTCTCTTAGTATTCTGCATACAGGAATTGAAGATAAGTCATGTAAATTATCTATATTGTGAAAGTTCCATATTGAATTTTTAATAAATGTGCAACAACAAACTATTTTTATAGCTTGAATGAAATTTTTGAGTTATTTATTAGGGAGAGGAGAGAAAAAAATTATAACTTATTAAAAACAAAGTTTGCTGTTTTATAGGAGAGGAAAAGGACATTTAAATATTATAAAAATAATTATATTTTTCAATATTTACAATAGATTTTTTGATGCTGTGTCATGTAGAATATTAAATTGCATTTGTTTACTAAGAAACTAACAAAATTAATTTTTTATAGCATTGTCATAAACATCTGAAAACCACTAATAGTTTACCACCTTCTAAAGATTACATGATGGCTCCTCCACAGGTAATATTAAAAAATATATCTAGTGATAAGAAAATTGAATAATGAGTATATATATGAAAACTTTATGAAAACTTTAAGCTTTTAATGAGATTGTCATTGTAATGAGCCACAATATTAATTTCTTAAAATTTAAAAATTTACCTTATATTCTAAAATTAACATTGTCTTGATGTTAAAGAAAAAAATATGTTTTATAATTTCAAAATCAGCTTGAAATGTTTTTATTTTTTGTTACAGAAATCTGTTTTATAGTAATATTTATAATAATTACAAATGTAAAACATACAACTAAACTATATAAAACAAATTACATTAGGATACAATTAGATAATCTATATCCTGTATATAAAATTGCTTGTCCTGACTGACTGACTCACTGATTCATCATCGCCCAGAGCAAACCGCTGAACCTAAAGAGGTGAAATTTGGTACACAGTTAGGGTACGTCATGAAAACGCACACTAAGAAGGGATTTTTCAAAATTCCCCTGCGGAGGAGAGGGAGAGCATTAAGGCTTAACCGGAAAAATGACTTCTACTGTACTATTTTAGATGTGATTTTTTGTTTTTATTTGCGTTTTAGTAGGATATGCCATGGCAATGCACACTAGGAAAGGATTTTTCGAAATTTCCCCGTGGGGGGAGAGGGAGAGCATTAAGCTTAACCGGAAGAATGGCTTCTATTGTACTATTTTACATGCGATTTTTTGTTACGTTTAGTCTTCATTAAGTGTATTAAATTAATAACATTTCAGACATCGTTATAAATATTTTTATATATTTTGATTTTTTAACCAAATGTTCGAACCTTTTTAAATTCAAATTTGTTATTGCATATTGGTTCAATTATAGAACGATTGTAAACATTCCAGAAAATTGATCAAATTGAAAATAGTTTGTTTGATTCTCAGCAATTCTCATCATTCTCGGTGGTAGATGTTATATAACAATTACTATGGTTGTTGAAATACTGAATATAAATGGGGTTTGCTTGCAAAACCTCCGC